CCTCCCACCTTTCTCCCTGCCGCCGGCAACAGCCTCCCTCCACCCTCCCTGCTCCCCCAAAGACAGCACTGCCCCCCTTTCTCCCTGCTCAGCAACGGCATCAGCCTCCCTACCCCCTCCCTGCCACCCAAGGCAGTACCTCCCCCCACCTTTCTCCCTGCCATTCAAGGCAGCACCTCCTCCTTCCCTTTCTCCCTGCCCGGGCAAGTGCCCCCGCCTCCTTCACCCCTAGCTGCCCCCGCACCTTCCGCAGCAGCTCGACAAACTCCTGCAGCCGCAGCTTGAACTCCAGGGGGCTCTTCGCCTTCCGCAGCCGCGCCCGCTGCTCCGCGCACCACGCGAGCGCCGGCGCCGCGTCTCGCGCGCGCAGCGCGTCGGCGGCGGCGCGGGCGCCGCCGAAGACGTGCAGGTCGCAGAGCTGGTCGATGCCCGCGGACGCCGAGAGTGCCGTGGCGCTGACGTGGCAGCCGTCACGCAGCAGGTGGTCTACGAGGATGCGGTCCAGGCGGGGGCGGTTCCAGGCGACAGCGGCGCCGCGCGCGGGCGCCCCGAGCGCGGCGAGGTGCTCGAGCCGCGCCTGGCAGCGCGCGGCCTCGTCGCGCTCGGCGCGGCTGACGTCGGCCAGCTTGCGCTTGAGGCCTTGCAGGCGCGTCACCAGCTGATCCAGGCCTGCGACCTGCTCGTCCTGGCTGGTCGCTGCATCGGACAGCGGGCCCAGCGCTGCCAGGGCCTCGCTGGCTTCATCAATCAGGCCTTTGCGGTCTTTGGCCGCTCGCTTGAGCGCCTCTTGCGGCACTCTCAGCAAAGGAGCCTCGATGATCTCCGCTGACACGGGCGTGCCTGTGGCCATCAGGAACGCAACGTTCTCAGAGCTACGTAATGCCCATCCACTAAATTCAGTCGGCATTGACAACATATGATCAGCCAATGCTATACAGAGGCTGCACGCCCCACTCACCTCGACTCGTAGGTACCGCACTCCACTGCATCACCAGACCGTTCGGAGGGCTCAAGGCCCTGTGCCGTCAGTGGCTGGTCGCTTTGAAACCGCGTGCACTGGCAGATATCTTTTGAAAAGACGAGAAGTGTCCGCGAGGCACCAGATCAGAGTTCACGCGATCACCGTACACGCCGCCAGTGTGGTTAACGGCACCTCGCTGCCCACAGAAGCGCGTGTCTCAGGTTACTCAGAGTAGCCATGGCGGTCCCGAAGCTGGGCAGCGCCATGCGCTTCCTAATGGCTGGCGGTGCCGGCGCAGTGCTGCTGTCGCCGGCCGGCGTGGCGCTGGCCGACAAGGCAGACCCGAAAAAGAAGGAGCAGGGGCCCCTGTTTGATCCTGAAGCGCTGGAGCGCGGCGCCAAGGCGCTCAGGGAGATCAACAGCTCGCCACACGCCAAGCAGGTGGGCCCCATGCTGTGGGGCAGCGGGGCAGGGCCGACTGCCCGGCCATCCTTGCATGAACGACCGCCAGTCTGCCGCTGTGCCCGCTCTGCTTCTCGCCCCGGCACCACCTGCCCCCTCACCTTCCCGCCAACCGTGCTTCCTCTTTGGGGGGGCTCCCCAGAAACCACCCTCGCCCACCCCCGCCCACCCTAAGCCCAGTCTCCCACCCCTCACGACTGCCGTTGCCCCGCCCCTGACCTATCTGCCTGCACCCCCCACCGCACGCAACCCTGACTCATCAGGTAATCCAGCTTACTCGGGAGCAAGAGGTGACTAAGCAGCAGGAACTGAAGGTTGAAGAAGCAAAGTACGGCGCCCAGGCGGCAGCGGCGGCGCAGGTGAGCCGCAGCCGGAGCGAGCGCGGCCCCGCACTCGGCGGGCTGTCGCGGTCTGCAAAGTGCTCTCGAAGCCGCCAGGCGCCACCCGTGCGGCTGTTTTCCCCTGCAGCTCTCTCGCGAGCCGCCCTCCAGGCGAGCCCGTCTCGCTGGCCGCCTCAGCTGTGCCCCGTGCCGCCCCATCACCCCCCCCCCCCGGATTAACACCGCAACACCCATAGGAGCAAGAGCGGGTGCGGTGGGAGGCGCAGTCAAAGTACGCTCAGGAGGAGGCGCAGCGCAAGGCGCAGCTGGCGCAGTACAACGATGAGCTGGCGCGCAAGTGAGTCGTCCGCGGCGGTATTGGGCGCTGCGGCTCGCGGCCCACGCGTTTCTGGGTTCTGGGTCGATAGTGCGAATGCGGCTGTGACACTGATGCAGCAAGCACGTGCAGACTGATGCAGCAAGCACGTGCAGATGTGCGCATAAAGGCTGTTCGCCCGGGTTTGGCGGGGACCTTGCGCGCTGGGCTGCAATCCAGCCAACGAGGCCTCGTTGCTTCACCCTTTACAGCCGCCCGCCCGCCACCCCAGACTGCCCACTGGACTGCCCCCGCCCGCGCCTGCACGACGCCGACGCCTCCCCTCTCCGCCCCCGCCCCGGCCAGGCGGCAGGCGCATGAACATGAGCTGCAACGGCAGCGCAACGCCGAGCTGGTACAGCTGCAGGCGGAGACGGCGGCGCGGCAGGAGGCGGAGCGGCTGAGGATTGAGCAGCAGATCCAGGCGGAGCGGCGGGCGGCGGAGCAGTACAAGGTGGGGCGCAGGGGCGGCGGGCGCCAGGGGTGGCGCGCTGCTGTGAATGCCGCGGCGGGTGCTGCTACCACACCTGCTGTTGCTGCGGTTGCGGCTGCGACTGCGGCTACGGCGCATTCCAGCTGTGGCGGTTGCGGCGGGTGGATTGGCAACCACCCTTTCTCTAAGGCCAAGGGCGTGCAAGTCCCAGTAGCCCCAACGCCTCGCTCTGCCCTCACCACCCCTGCTGCAACGTCTCGCCGACAACCCCCAACCCACCCCAACCGACCCCCGACCCACCCCAACCGACCCCCGACCAACCC